TTGGACACAACTTTTCAACTTCTATTTAAAAGTCTCTATACCCCGATTTTTATTCATTCCAAAAATCAATTCTAATTTTATTCTTCTTCCAAATTATATTCCTCCATCCTTGCATTATTTCATATTTTGTAATTCGGTCTCGAAATTTATTTTCGTGCATTTTAGTCCTCCAATTTTAGAGAAATCAAAACGTGAATAGGTTCGTCGGGTCTTGTAATTTGAAGTGCTACTGTTACAAGCCGAGGTCGTTGTATCTTGGGAGACGGGTGTCGGAGTACTGTCAATACTAGTGCAGGGCATTATCATCTTAAGGAGAAAGAGTCAAACTCTTGCCTCGATCATTAACATTTTATATCGTTCATTTTTGCAAGTCATAATTCTGCCCAAATTATTGCACGGTAATATCATTATTTGCCAACAGTTTTTTGCGTCGAGCTTCTGGATTTCCCATGTTGCAATGAATGGTTCACGCATATTTGTTTTTACGACAAATAGTTCTGTATTGTTTCAGGACAAAAACAACCACAGACACTGCCTCGTTTATTGTTATCACGTAACATTTGCTATCCAGATTTCGAATGATTTTTCTTATAACCGACAAAGTGTGATTCATCTTAAAATATAGACATCCAAAGGGGACTAAGTTTAACTCATCTTAATATATTACCTCGTAAGAAATCTGATCCTCAATCTGACGCAGAACGAGAAGATGTTTCTTGATAAGTGTCATTGAATGTGGAACGTGAAATTAGCAAAATTCAAATAACGTCAGTTACAATTGAGTCTTAGAATCTACATTTAGAAGTCAGTATTTTCTAATATAATTTACATTTATGTTAGTATTTCATTTACCTAGCAAAATATGAAATCTTTATTTGTAAATAGGGCATATTCGAATTTTTCCAATTCCAAAATGGCAAAATATAATCTCTCTTTTTCATTCTCTTCTCCTCGAGACCATCAAATTATTAATCTTTATGTTTACTGGATCGTGCGACTTGCGTTCTTCTCCATCATCTCCTTTTTTTAGGTTATTTTTTTAAGGTATTTTTCATCGATATTTGGACGACATATATGAAATATTTTTCTCCAACATGATCAATAGAAGCATGTCATCTACTTTAATGTTTGAACAAGGCATGGACGATATATTGTTTGGGAATTGGGTGATGACCATTTAAAGTATTAATATAAACTTATTTTCAAGAAAAATACCTTTTAATTGGAACATTTATTCATTTTTTTTGTAATAGGATAGAAATAATGTCATTAAATATTTTTAAATCTTAATTAGATTTGTTTATTACAAAATTGCTAATTATTAAACCTTTAATTATGACTGTTAATTAGGATTAGTTATGCTGATTATCGGGAGTTGTTATTGCTGAATTCATTTTATTATGATAAATATTTGTTGATAAATTCTTATAAATGTGAAGGAAATAGGTTCAATTTTATATTCTAGGATGAATTAAGCATGGGAAAGCCACTTCGCCATAAGAAAACATCCAAATGCAGTGCCAGAAACGTATGTGGCGGGAGGTGATTGGATGTAAGAGATAATTGTGTTTTAAACTATCCAATGGGATACCATAACACTAGGCATTATGTAAACCTTTGATGTCATACTTGATGTACATATAGCATGGTCCATGATAGAACATCACAAGGAAGATTGCAATGGTTATGCAACCTTGCCAGGTGTTGGTTACTTCACACTCGACTTCATGTCGTAGTTGTTAAGAATATTGGGCCTAACTCCACCTAATAAAACCGGCTTATTAGGGGAGGATTGCCCTCACCTTATAAAGTGGATCATTTATATTTTCCCAAACAATGTGGGATTCTAATACGCCCCCTCACGCACAGCGTGANTTTTTACGACAAATAGTTCTGTATTATTTCAGGACAAAAACAACCACAGACACTGCCTCGTTTATTGTTATCACGCAACATTTGCTATCCATATTTCGAATGATTTTTCTTATAACCGACAAAGTGTGATTCATCTTAAAATATAGACATGCAAAGGGGACTAAGTTTAACTCATCTTAATATATTACCTCGTAAGAAATCTGATCCTCAATCTGACGCAGAACGAGAAGATGTTTCTTGATAAGTGTCATTCAATGTGGAACGTGAAATTAGAAAAACTCAAATAACGTCAGTTACAATTGAGTCTTAGAATCTACATTTAGAAGTCAGTATTTTCTAATATAATTTACATTTATGTTAGTATTTCATTTACCTAGTAAAATATGAAATCTTTATTTGTAAATAGGGCATATTCGAAATTTTCCAATTCCAAAATGGCAAAATATAATCTCTCTTTCTCATTCTCTTCTCCTCCAGACCATCAAATTATTAATCTTTATGTCTACTGGATTGTGCGACTTGCGTTCTTCTCCATCATCTCATTTTTTTAGGTTATTTTTTTAAGGTATTTTTTATCGATATTTGGATGACATATATGAAATATTTTTCTCCGACATGATCAATAGAAGCATGTCATCTACTTTAATGTTTGAACAAGGCATGGACGATGATATATTGTTTGGGAATTGGGTGATGACCCTTTAAAATATTAATATAAACTTATTTTCAAGAAAAATACCTTTTAAACGGAACATTTATTCATTTTTTTGTAATAGGATAGAAATAGTGTCATTGATTTTCCACCATACGTTCTCTCTAATTAAATATTTTTCAATCTTAATTAGATTTGTTTATTACAAAATTGCTAATTATTGAACCTTTAATTGTGACTGTTAATTAGGATTAGTTATGCTTATTATCGGGAGTTGTTATTGCTGAATTCATTTTATTACGATAAATATTTGTTAATAAATTCTTATAAATGTGAAGGAAATAGGTTCAATTTTATATTCTAGGATGAATTAAGCATGGGAAAGCCACTTTGCCAGAAGAAAACATCCAAAAGCAGTGCTAGAAACGTATGTGGCGGGAGGTGATTGGATGTGAGAGATAATTGTATTTTAAACTATCCAATGGGATACCATATCACTGGGCATTATGTAAACCTTTTATGTCATACTTGATGTACATATAGCATGATAGAACATCACAAGGAAGATTGCAATGGTTATGCAACCTTGCCAGGTGTTGGTTACTTCACACTCGACTTCATGCCGTAGTTACACTTACACATTTAACATTCAGCATGTTCTATATGTTTTTCATTTATTTGTTATTTTCTTGGGTGTTGACAATACTTGATATTGAAATAAAATTATTGAATTGCAGCTGCCTTGTCGACTTATTATTGAATTATTGTGTCCTCGTTGGCTTGTTATTGGATAACACGAATTGTTGTTTTCTTAACGGTTGTTGGAGACTTGGAGTGTTGGATTTGTAAGGATATTGTAATTTTTTGTGTGCAATTTTTAGAATTTACAATAAAAGGTTAATCTCTTCCTGGAAAAAAGTAGGAACTTATTTTCTTTCTTTTCAAAGATTGATTAATCTAGTGAAAGTACACTTTTTGATGAATTGACTTAAAATCAACCTTCACTTATTGAGTTTAGTCCATTGACAAGTCCACGAATTTCAGCTCAATGGAAAATCTACGAATTTTAGCCCCTATCAGCTAAATTCGTGGATCCTCCCGGATTTTGACAAAACAATGTTGTCTACAATTTATGAAGTATTAGATTTGATAGCCTATGTCTTTCATTGTAAACAACTTAATTTTGGATCCTTGTGAGTAAATATTATTGCTTTGCATTGGAAAAATCATAAAATGAAATCACTAAAACTATCATACAGAGATGAGTTTGACTATCTATATTTGAATTATCGATTGTGGTGATGGCTTCTAATAGGTCGGTCTTTCATTGTATAAAATAGAGTGTTATCAGCAAAAGATTATATTAGTTACAATTGAAACCCTTCCACTTAGAATGGGGAAAGAACCCTAAAAAGAAAAAGAGAAAAGGAAAAGAAAAAGAAAAAGTGGATTCATTCTTTTATGTCTGAGAGACATAGCTTGTTATTGGCTGATTACAGATTTTCTTATCTACAAACTGTGTATGTTCATCGAATAATTATTTTCCACATTTTCATGATTATTGAAATAGTGAGAAAATAATTATTCTGGTGAGACAACCAGCTGGCTAGCATCAATTTTAATATTGGCCCAGGTCGTAAGTCTTCTCGTCATCGTCATGCTATGTGTACAAAGATTGATTACAAAAATGGTTTACGAAATGTGATGTACCATCTTGTCAATCAATGATTTAAAAAACATTTTTTGAAATCAACATCATAGATTTTGCCACATCATTTTGTAAATCCACTTTGGTCATCCACTTTTGTACAAGTAGATTAATCCCATTTTCCAAACCAATCTCATGGTTAAAAAATAGGGACACTAGACAGCATTTCATTGGACAATTAGAAAAAAAAAAATTAAAAATCCATACAAGTGCTGCCAACACAACACTTGTCAAAAGCCCTTGTCAACTATCCCGTGCAAGCAACATTATTGTTTCCGAACTTTTATAGAGTGAATTTGACTCTCGTGAATAAAGACGATTTAGACTAATAAAGAGCCTATTCAAGAAGTTTAAAAGCATTACCATTTTTTATATTTGACAGTTTGAATAGAGGTTGTAAGAGTATAACCATTTTTGACATTTGACAGTCTTGAAAATCTAAAGTTTTGATAAATGGAATGATGCAATATTCACCATATTGCCAGCTAACTTTGAGGAATTAGAAAGAATATCTATTATGAGATGAAAGCAATATTTGTAAATTTATTGCAATTGATATTCAGATTGTAAAAATCTAAAGTTGATTGATGAAAAAACACAAACAAGCTAGTAAAAAAACTGCAGAATTTGCATAGCAAAATATTACAAACTTCTTCTTTTTTTGGCTTGAGAACATATTGACATCAGTATAAAAATACGCTTTCGCACTTATTTTTAATACACTAATTAATCTCGAAATTTCACTTGTTTCAGTCTTAAAAAATCATGGCAAATTCCATGGATTTCATTGCTTTTATGATAGCAATTTCCATCATTTCCATATCGAAATTTCCAATGACTGAAGCAGGCACAAGTAGTTTTTCCATTGATCTAATCCATAGAGACTCTCCACAGTCTCCGTCGTATAATTCTTCATTGCTGCCTTTACAACGTTCCATCAATGGTTTTAGAAGATCATTCAATCGACTTAATCGATTTATGACAGATCACTTCACACAATCGACCAATATTATCTCTGATAATGGCGAATATCTCATGAAATTTTATGTTGGGACACCACCAGTTCCCATCTTAGCGATTTTTGATACTGGCAGTGATCTTATTTGGTCACAATGCCAACCTTGTGTCAAATGCTTTAAGCAAAAGTATCCAATCTTTAATCCCCGTAATTCTTCCACATATAGAAAGCTTGCTTGCAGATCTTCCTCCTGTAAGGCTTATCCTGAGTCAACCTGTGGCAAGAAACACAAAACTTGCTTATATTCCCAGTATTATGCTGATGGATCATTTACCATTGGTACTGTGGTAACAGAAACCATTACACTAAGTGCTACAAAGGGCAGAAATGTATCCATTCCTAAGGCGATAATTGGATGTGGAGTTAAAAATGATGGTATATTTAACGCTGGTGAATCAGGCATAGCTGGTTTTGGATCTGGAAAGGTCTCGTTAATTTCACAACTAGGCTCTTCAGTTCAAGGGAGATTTTCTTATTGCTTGGTGTCCGGTTTGAAGGCCTCGAACTCCAGTAAACTGAACATTGGTGAAAATGCAGTTGTTCGTGGTAAAGGGGCCGTATCAACCCCTATGGTTTTCAAATCCGGGAGAACTTTCTATTTTTTGACATTGGAAGGTATCAGTTTAGGGAATAAGAGATTGAATTTCTACAATCCCTCGATTATGGCAAATGTTACCAAGGCTTCTCATGAAGGTAACATGATCATAGATTCTGGAACAACACTGACTTTCTTGCATACAGATTTGTACAACAAGCTCTTAAAAGCATTGAAGCGTACGGTTAAGTTGAGACGTGTCAACGATCCACTGATAATTTTTGACTTATGCTACTATTCTAAGAAGCATATAAAAGTTCCAGTAATTACGGTTCACTTTAAAGGAGCTGATGTGAAGTTGAATTCAGAAAATACATTCTTTGAAGCTAAAAAGAACGTCTATTGCTTGGCGTTCGGACCAGCAGTAGAAGTTGGCCTTTTTGGTAACTTGGCACAACGAAACTTTCAAATAGGCTATGACCTAATCAAGAAGACTATATCGTTTAAGCCCACTGATTGCAGCAAATCTTGATAAATATATAACGTTTATTATGATTAAGTCTTTTATATTATTAAATGATGTTTGATATGTGATGAATAATTCTAATGGACGATGAATTACATTCGATTTCTTAAAAAAAATGAAGTGAAAAATCAACGCGTTAAAAGATAAACCAAGCATAGGGGGTTACAGTGGTAGATAACAGAAATCCCCGAAAAACATGGAGGTTTATGTCTTGACTCGCGACTGAAGGAATGACCAAACGAGCATAAATGGCGATGTGATCATTACCCTAGTATGTAATACACCACCAAGAAAACATGAGAAATTTAGAGAATGCAAGAGCCGAATTAAAGGGAAAGGAAAGAGGAAGGCGATTGAGGAGGCTTAAAGGCTCATTTCAAACAAGACCGAACCAGCATTAAAAAAATATTGACTTTGTGACACAAATCTGAGGCTGACCGGTTTGACTTGAAGTCGCCTTGTAAAAGGCGTGACAACTTATGGTGGAACATGATATATAGGGGAACCTTCTCTTATTTGCATAATCTGTACGAACCTTAGTCTGCTCTTTCTCTCAAAGAAGCTGCACGACTTATACATACAGATTTATACTTGGTGTAGATTTCTTGTAAATCGTTCTTAGTGGATGCACGCTTTATGTGCGATTTGAGAGTCTGATTTTTTTAAATTAGAGAATCCTCCATTTGTTGGATGTAATTGATAGGTGAAAGGAGACTGGTAGGGTTCTTTGCTTTATACCGAGTGGTAACTGAATTTTTGACGGAGTTTAGTGCAACGGTGAGATATCCACTACAAAGTGGAGCTCCAACGGAGGCGTAACCATTCTTGGTGAACTCCAGGCCCCAATGAGATTGGGCGAACGTATATGGTGTTTTTTTGTGTTTGATTCTTGCACTTAGCATTGGATAAATAGTGCATGAATTATATTCAATTAACTAAAATACGGGTATGCAAAGATAATAAAATCACGACTTAAATTTGCAAAATATCGAATATATTTTTGACTTATCGGAACCTAAATATGTGCATAAATTCCGACTTACTTCAATATAGAAATTGCGAAAGGAGATGAAGTGAAATGAGGCATGCGAATGCAAATTTTCTTAAGACAAATTTCGCCCATACATTGGTGGTAACAATATCAAATGAATGTTTGTCACCCAACACTACAAGAAACTGCGGCTTCAGCGACGGATTTTTCCGTCGCTGAAGCCCCGAATTCCGTTGGTGATAACTTTCAGAAACAGAATGTTCCCGTCGGTTAAAATCCGTTGCTGAAGCCCCGAATTCCGTTGGTGATAACTTTCAGAAACAGAACGTTCCCGTCGGTAAAAACCGTCGGCAATACCCTCGACGCTAAACTTCAGCGACGGATTTGTATACGTCGTCGTTGATAGCGACGGAAGGGCGCGTCGCTATTAGCGACAAGAAAGGGTGTCACTAATTAGCGACGGATTTGTATACGTCGTCGCTGATAGCGACGGAAGGGCGCGTCGCTATTAGCGACAAGAAAGGGTGTCACTAATTAGCGACGGAAAAGTTGTCGCTAATTTGCAACGGTATTAGTTACAACTTTTTCCTTCGCAAATTACCTACGGATTTAGGCGTGTTGGAAACTAGGTACAGATTTTCCGTCGCTATTTCCGTCGCAAATTTAAAAAAAAAATTAAAAAAAAATTGAAAAACTATTTAAATTAACTGCTACTGCCTTCAGCTACCTATTGATACTATAAAGCCATTACAAGTACTAAATGTAAAATGATTCTGAATAAAAGGAAGAGAAGCAAGATCCTGAGTGAGAATACTGAATGCTAGTAAAGAAGCAAAAGGCAAGCAAAGTCAGTGGAGAGTTTGAACATAGTGGATATGTCCATTGTCTTGTCAAATACTTCTAGGATGATACCGAAGATATGCAATCAATTAAAAACTTAACAAAAATAACTAGCATTAACCTTATCAATTTATATTTCAAGACATTCACAATCTCCATAAATGGCTAAATCAAATAAAAATTTCAACATA